TTCTTCCAATCCATGAGCATGGGAGGTCTTTCCATCTTCTGATGTCTTCCTCAATCTCTTTCTTTAAAGATATAAATAATGCCTAGCTAGTTTTAAAAACCAGAGGGAACCATAGTACTCCAGCAACCAACAAATTATACATACCAGAGCAAGAAATACACGTATAGGTAAGGTTTATCTGAGAGCAATTGGTCTTTTCCCAAGATTTATCTACATGACACACAGTAATTCAAAGTACCAGACTGGTGGAACTAACCTTCTTGGATGTTTAACAGACATACTTTGAGGCCTATAATAATTTGGCAGAGGGACATAAAGGACAGTTATTTGCTCCTTGCCCTCCTAAGTCGACTCATTCCAAGGGACTATGAGCGTCTCTCAAAATGTTCTGTAATTGTGGTGGGTCACCTGTCCTCTTGAGCAAGGAGGTCGAGCAGACCCCACCAGATGGACTTGAACCAGTGTCCAGTCTACAAAAAGGAGGGTCAACACAGAGGAATCATTTCCTCCATGCTTCCATGCAAAGCCAGCCGTGGCCGAGCAGGACCTTTGACTTATCTTCACATAGGTGGAACTGGTAAAAGAAAGGAGCCAGGGGCTCCTCCCAAGCCCATGTGACCCCTGAAGAACAGATCATCAAAGGACCTTAAGAGTAAAAGTAAATTGGTTTATTTGGGCCAACTGTATGGTCTTAAACACCGAAAAGGAAAGTATAACCAAAGATTAAAGGGGCCAATATAATTTTTAAGAATCCATATGTATAGCTAAAAGCTACATAACAAGCAACAATGCCAGGTAGGAGATAACTTCTTTTGAGTTGTTGGCCAAGGTGGCCAAAGGGACTCCCAGATAGTAACCCAGCATAGAACTGGGAAAATGAACAGCACACACCAATCTTATCTAAAGGAATATTGACGACTGATTGCTGCTAGATGAGGAATAGCTGACCTTCCTAAAACAAAGACCTCTAGATAGTCTGACTAGATTCACCAGATGGACAAGTAATGGAGAATGGCAGGGGGTGCCGACAACACAGCAGACAGTAACAGGGATATCAGAGAATAAGGGCTCTAATGGGAGGAGGGAGGCTATGGGAGGGTGCCATCTGGGAAGTGGGTGTATAGTTGAATAAGACAGTTTGGGATGTTCTGTGTGATACACACACACACACACACACACACACACAAATCAAATTTTAAAAATGTAATATATTTGAGGAGGAAGCATGGATTTATGTCATGTTAATTGTCAGAGGTGATAAGCATTACCACTGAAATCTACCCGATAACTTTATAGACATACACAGGCGCCAAGGATCCAAGTGCAACCGATTATGACTAGTAATAAACAGATACATACAAATTAGAGATGCATGGGTCAACATCTCAGTGTTAGTAGCAAAAAC